GGCCGGGATCCAGGGGGGGCCGGGCGGGCGCCGGGGGGGGCGGGCCGGACCGGGCCTCTCCTCAGCTCACCTCACCTCAGCGGCTGCCCTTCCCTTGCAGGCCTCTTCTCCTGGCACCCGCTGCTCATGGCCCTCGCGGTAAGTCCCGCCGCCCCGGTTACCGGCCAGCTCCCCCTGCTGCCCCCCCGCCGTGGGCACCTCCCTCAGGAGGGGAAGGGGCCCCGCTGGCGGAGAGCGCCCGGCGCAGAGGGTGAGGCCCCTCTGCTCCCCGTGGGTGGTGGGAGGCTGAGCCCCGGGAGACGCCGACCTGCTGCCGCTTCTGCCCCCGGCCGTGGTGGGGGCGGCCGGTGCCAATCCCCCTGCCCTCTGTCTCCCAGTTCTCCTTCCTGATGACGGAAGCCCTGCTGATCTTCTCCCCGGAGACCTCGCTGCTCCGCTCCTTCTCCCGCAAAGTCAAAGTGCGGGTGCACTGGGCCCTCCAGCTGCTCGCCCTCCTCTGCGCCCTCCTGGGGCTGGGCATCATCACCTACAACAAGCACCTGAACGGCAAGGCCCACTTTGTGACCTGGCACGGCCTGACGGGGCTGCTGACCGTGCTGTACACCGGCGGGCAGTGTGCAGGGGGGGTGCTCCTGCTGTACCCCAAGCTGATGAAGAACTGGACGCTGGCCAAGCTCAAGCTATACCACGCGACCTCGGGGCTGGTGGGCTACCTGCTGGGCTGTGCCAGCCTAATGCTGGGCATGTGCTCTCTGTGGTTCACCACCTCGGTGACCAGCATCTCCTGGTACCTTGCCATGCTGTGTCCCCTTCTCACCAGCCTGGTTATCATGAACCAGGTGAGCAACGCTTACCTGTACCGCAAGCGGAGCCAGCACTGAGGGCCCAGCGCAGATCTGAACTTTCCCTGCGCGAGCTGGCGAGGCTGGGGCTCCCCCCTGCAGCCCCCCATGGGGGTCCCCTGCTCACACAGGGTCTCCTCGGTACTAGATTTCTACCTGTTTGTTTCTCGTTAGTCCTGGATTGTCAGTAGTGTCTCATCCCCAGGGAGCAGCTATGATGTGCGTGACACCGAGTGGGCAAGAGCTGCCCATCTCATGCCTGCCTCGGTGGGGACGTTACCCAGCACAGGTAACGCCGCTGGTCCCCGCGGCAGCTTGGTGCTCAGTGCTGGGAACCAGAGGGTTCACTCAGGATTCCTGCTCCTTTTCCCTTCACTTGCCACCCAGGGCTGCTTTGGAGCAAGCAGGACAGGAGCTGTCACATTCCTGGTGAGGAAGGCAGGGAGTCCCCGCTCGCCCAGGAGGCTGCAGCGGGTACTGTGCTGCCTCTCCTGCCACAAGGGCAGCTTGGCCAGTGAAAGCGCAGGGCAGGGCTGTGGCTTCAGCCCGGCTGAAGCGGGGTGGTAGCACCCACGGCATCCGTCCCCTCGGCGTAGCCCTGCTCAGGGACCTGGGGGCTCCCGGGGACTGGTGTGGTCAGCCCTGCCCGACGGTCGTGGATCTGGGCACCCATCACCACGCACAAATCCTTCCCACAGGCTGGGACAGCAAAGCTTCAGCCTGGCAGGAGGTGGGGGTCATTTTACAGAGCAAATTACCAAGCCGAGATGCAAACCGGCAGCCTGTGAAGGCGTTTTGTCCCTCCGAGGGGCACAGGGAACATGTGGGGGAAGCAGGGCTTGGGACGAGCCCTTGAGCCAGCCTGCGAAAGAGCCCTCAGGAAGGCAGAAAGCAACCTCCTTGCCTCTCGCCTTGCTGGCGCAACAGCCTGCCTTCCAGCCCGCTCACCATCGGGGCAGCCAGGCGCCGCAAGGCTCCATCTGCCACAGCGGCCCCGTGGCTCCTCCTGGGCACCTATCCTGCTCTTGGCCAGGCCGGAGAGCTGGGAGCAGCTCCCAGGCTGGGAAATTCCTCTGTATCCAGAGCTTTTATTCAATAAAGATTTCAGGCAGCTACAATTCGACAAGCCCTCTTTACTACCCGAGGGACTTCTGGGGTGCAGGCAGACATCCCCCCCCTGCGGATTTCCCACCTCCTCCTGCTTGCAAAGGGTGTCTCCGAACCTGCTGGGAGCACCCGTAAGGAAACCCCTTCCCCAGGCTCCTGCACAAGAGCCCCCGGGGCTGCTCTGTGCCCGGCCCCCCACCCGGCCCACACTCTGCTGCGGGAGCCAACTCTTTCGAAGAACTCTTTATTGATACCCAAACGTCTGTGTTTTTCCCGGTTGACAAAAACCTTCTGGTGTGGTCCTTTAAAAAAATAATCATGAAACCATCGACCCGCGTTCCGGGCTGGGGACTGCCCAGGGGATCGGGAGCTGTGAGGAGGCTGTCACAGGGAGCATCCTCTCCAGAAAAAAAAAAAAAAAAAACCCACACTCAAAAAAAAAAAAAAAAAAAGCCCATCAACACGGAGGAAAAGAGAAGGGGGAGCCCGTATTCTACCTGCAGGAAAAAAAACAGCTGCCGGAGGAAGCAGCGAGAGCCTCACCATAAAAATTAATTCCAGCTTCTAGTGTAATCTGACAAATGGATTAGCCGGGGAGCGGCTGAGTGCACCGGCTCCTCGCAGTGCTGGCTTCGGGGGCGGGAGAGGGAGCAGGAGAGAACTCCCCATGCACAAAGCCCAGAGCTGGCAGTGCTGGGTGGCCCCCTCCTGCCCAGCAGCCTCTCCCCCCACCTGGCAAACCTCTCACCAGTCACGGTGAGCTCCTGCCAAGGCGGGGGGAGGCTCCCCACGGGAAAGGGATTTGGAAGAGAAATCCGCCAGCCTTCCCGTTCCCTCAGTTAGGGACAGAACTACCTTCAGAAAGGAGGAAATAAGCGTTGAGTGCTCTGGCCAGCCCCCGGTGCGGAGGAGAAGCGAGGGAGCGCTGCTGACTTCGCTCCTGCATGGGCAAGCGCAGCAGCCTTGGGGCAGGGATCAGCCCCACATCCCCCTCCCGGAACAGCCCCCGCTGCCGGTACCGACGTCCACAGCCTGCCCTGCGCCGAGGGGAGCGGCTCCAGGAGCCCACGTCCTTGCGGTGGTGGCAGCATCGTTGTCCTGGGTGCCCAGTGCTGGCCACGAGCGGCAACGAAGCATTGGAATGAGGTAGCCCCCTGCCTCTGCCGCGGGAGGAGTCCCTGCTCCCCGCTGAGCGTCCCCTCTGCGTGGGGGGGACACGAGGGGGGTTAGCAGCTCTCCGACGGAGATGGGGTGGGGAAGGGGGGCAGCGTGTTGGCCGGTCACAGCTGGGACGGGGCATCCTGGAAGGTGATGAGGCTGGACTCCTGGCCAGCACCCTTCCCGGCCATGTCGGGGTTGGGCAGCAGTGGGCTGTCGGCCTTCGTCCCCACCTCCTCTTCCTCGTCCTCCATGCTAGGCCAGGCCGACTGGTCTTCCACGCGCTTCAGCCGCTCGTTCAGGGCCTTCAGGGCCAGCTGCCTGTGGGGCAAGGGCAGACAGGCAGGTTAACCCCGGGTCTGACGGGCAGGGCAGGGGCTAATGGCTCTGCCCCACGGGGCACTGTGCAAGGCCCTCCCTGGCTTCTTCCCAGCAGGAGAGGGTGGATTCAGCAGCGCTGGAGATGACCCGGAACGCCTGGGACTGCTCCGCAGAAACCCACTCATGCTCCCAGATTCCCCGCGCAGAGTTCTTGTGCCACGTGGTACGCTCGGAGGCTGTCAGATGGCACGCAGGCCGCTCCGGGAACGGGGGAAGAAAGGTGTAAAACAGGGCAAGAGGAAAGCGGAGCGCCAACGCCTTATGCACACCTTTCTGCCGGGGCTCAGCAAGGCCAACGCCAGGCATGCGGGAGGGCCGGGGCGTGGGGCTGACTCAGCGTCTTCCCCCACACCACAATGAGGGGGAAGGCACCTCCCCAGGCAGCCGCTGTTCCTCTTCTACAGGGACCCCCGACCCCAAACCACACGTGCCCCTTCCCCAGGATCTCCCTGCTCCTCCCCTGCACTTCCGCCACTGCTCTGTGTTTGGAAGAGTGGGACAACATCCCACCAGCCCCACGAAATGCTTCCCGCCACCTCTGCGGTAGGGAGTGCGGCCCCCAGCAGACCCCCTGGAGAAGGCCCCCTCTTAGCACCCTGCACCCAAATCTCCCCTCTTCTCCTCATTTGGATTTTAAACCTGACCCTCGCTGCTCGTAAACACAATCCCCATGGAAGCTGGGTGAGCGGTACCTTCTCCTCTCAGCGTCCTGGGGGTCCGTCCCTGGCAGGCTGATGGTGATGGACGATGGGGCGCCCACGTCGTAGCGTTTGACCGTCTTGCGGCAGACCTTCACCTTCACCAGGATGCTGTGCACCAGGTTGGCCACCAGACCCACCACAGGCTGCAAGATCTCGGGGAAGAAAGTGGCAAAGGCGAAGTGGTCGGACATGTCTCCACGGCCTCTACTGTGCCGCTGGTAGAAACGGAGATAGACCCAGCTGGAGAGGAGCCCGAAGCCGTACGAGGCCAGTACATTGCTCTCGACGAGGGCGGCAAGCCGCAGCAGAGCCAGGAGAAGAAGCAGGAGCATAGGGACAGCCTTCATCCTGACCTGGGGCACCTTCAGGACGGTGCTGTCCCCCATCGTCTGCTTGAGGGCCACCAAGACTCCCCCGAGGAAGCCCAGCCCGCCGTGGATGCGGACGGCGAACAGGTAGGCGAGGTGGAAGGAGGCCACGTAGGTGAGGAAGTAGGCGAGGGCCCCCAGGAGCCCCACCGAGATGTTCACCACCGCGAAGAAGACCAGCAGCTCCAGGGCTCCCCAGAGGGGCTCCAGCAGCCGCCCGGCCGCCCCCAGCGTGGCCAGGCTGGCCGCCAGGCCCCAGGCCCGCTCTT